TGAGCTGAAGAGCTGAGGGTCAGTGCCCAGGCCCAGAGTTCAAGCCCCACGACCGACCAAAAAAAAAAAAAAGAGAAGATGGGCTTAGTGACTTTGATTGCATAAACCAAAGGCAACAGCACTTACATGGCTGGGTTCAATTTTCATTTATTTATTTACTTACACAGTAACTAGGGACTGATTTCTGGGCCCTGCTCTCTACAGTGTGAGCCACTTCCCAGTCCCAAGTATTGTGTGTGTGTGCGCGCTCATTCACACACATATGTGCCTGTCCTGGGACTTGAACTCAGGTATTGGACACTGTCCCTGAAACTTTTTAGCTCAAAGCCAGTACTCTACCATTTGAACCACAGTTCCACTTGTGGCTTTTTGGTGGTTATTTGGAGGTAAGCGTATTATTGACTTACCCATGCTGGCTTTGAACCAATATCCTCAGTTCTCAGCCTCCTGAATAGCAAGGATTATAGGGATGAATCACCTGCACCCAGCTCAAATTTTATTTTAATTGAACACTTTCTGACCCTGCAGTGAGCTCTCTCACTATGCAGTGTGTTAGATTAAACTTGGAACCATCTTCTGCTAAGAGAAAATGAAGACAAATGTGACCCCACAGCCCTAGTTTGAGTTAATGAGGCAAACCCTGAGCATCTGCTCTCCATTTCAGGACAAGATGTTCAGACATGGTTAACTTACAGTTCATAACATCATGGTTGTTTTTGTCCTCAGAACCTAGGTGTTTTAGTGGCTTGAGGTAGGGGCTGGGGTAGCAGACCTGTTTGATCTTCAGATTCCTTCTTCCATGTATCTTCATATCTTATATCATTTGGTTGCAAAGCAGAGATAGACATCACATTTCTGTTCTACCTATGCATGGGTCTACAGAGATGCACAAAGAGCACCTAGGGACTTTCAGATGGCACACCCAAATATTTTTCTATTACATGCCTTCCTATTTTATACTTCAAATAGAATGTACAGATGGGAGGGGATATGTATAAATTACCCAGATTTTAGGATGAACATGGTAGAGGGCCAAGGATTTCATTAGTTTCTTCTAGTGGTACAGACACTTAAGTCATAGCTCTAGGCAGTTTCCTTAATTGAAGCATTTATATTTAGATAATTTAAAAGTACGTTCATCCTTTCAGGGCTTTTTGTTTGTTTGTGCCAATACAGGGCTTAAACTCAGGGCCTCAAGTTCTTGCACCCAAGGCTAGCACTCTACCACTTGAGCCACACCTCCACTTCTAGCATTTTTTTTTGTATGTATGCTGGTCCTGGTGCTTGGACACTGGGCCTGGGCACTGTTCCTGAGCTTCTAGTGCTCAAGGCTAACACTCTGCTGTAGAGCCACAAAATCACTTCTGGTTTCTCTGAGTAGTTTATTGGAGATGAGTTTCATGGGCCATCTTGCCCTGGTTGGCTTTGAACCATGATCCTCAGATCTTAGCCTCCTGAGTAGTTAGGATTATGGGCATCTGCCAGTGGTACCCAGTTTACTTCTGGCTTTTTATTGGCTAATTGAAGATGTGTCTCATGGACTTTTCTGTTTGCACTGCCTTCAAACTGAGGTCCTTAGATCTCAGCCTCCTGAGTAGGTAGGATTACAAGCATGAACCACCTGCATCAGTACCTGGCCTTTCAGGTTTTTGGGTTTGTTTCTTCTCTACAGCATGTGTACAGCAGATGCTCTACCAGTGAACCATGCCTCCTGCCTTTTAGGTTTATTTGTCAGTCGTGGGTCTTGAACTCTGGGCCTAGTCACTGTCCCTCAGCCCATCAGCTCAAGACAAGCACTCTACCACTTGAGCCACAGTGCCACTTCCTAGTTTTAGTTTTTTAACTCTCACAATAACTCTGTCAGGAAAGTAAAACAAGGATTAGTGTCTTCAAGAAAGTTAGTCATAGACTATTACTAGTTAACACTGTAATCTAGATTTCTTACTAATAAACCTTTTGAAAATTCTACCCAAGAGTCACTAATTTTAGATTTTACTGAATTGGTACTGGGTACAAAATAGTTAAGCTGCCGGGCGCTGGTGGCTCATGCCTGTAATCCTAGCTACTCAGGAAGCTGAGATCTGAGGATCGATGTTCAAAGCCAGCCCAGGCAGGAAAGACTGTGAGACTCCTATCTCCAATAAACCACCAGAAAACCGGAAGTGGCGCTGTAGCTCAAGTGGTAGAGCGCTAGCCTTGAGCTGAAGAGCTGAAGGACAGCACCCAGGCCCAGAGTTCAAGCCCCATGACCGACAAAAAAAAAAAAAAAATAGTTAAGCCCTAGGTTCC